GAAAACAATTCTTGTTGCATTAACAAAACTTCCGTTCAAAAATCGACGAAACAGAATTACTGGTTGAATCTACCACAATTCTGTATAATGCTTACAAGAATTCTTGTATGCATTATACAAGTAAATTGTTTCGTCGATTTTTAACCAGAATTTCTTCATTTAACCAGAACCTGTTTTTCAGCGTATATATTTTTATGATATATATATATATTACTAACATTATATAATTAATCTTATAGAACCTTTAAATATTTGGCAGCATTAAATTCTCCTTTTCTCTTCAAATCTTTTATCAAAACTTTTAAACTTTTTATTTTTTTTTCTCTGCGTGAGTTTTTGTTATGTGCAGCTGCTATTTTAGATCTTTCATAAGTTGTGAACCTTAAGAATCGATTCCAAGCTTCATCAGAAACAAAGTCTTCTCGAGAAATATATTCTGTTTTGTAACAATTCATAAAGCGAACTCTTTTTACAGCTTTGTTATTCGTTAATGAATTTTTCCTAAAATTTAAATTTTTTACATTTATCTTTAATGTAATTATATTGAAAATAAAAATATCAAGTATTTCTATTGTGATATTTTGTAATAATATTATCTATAGCATCTTTATATATACTTTCTTATTACTGTAAAAGATAATTACTTACCTTTTTCTACTGTTTGTATCATTGCTTACACTACTATTATTCAGTTCATATGAACAATCTTGCTCATTTAAAGAGCCTTCATCAAGAGAATTCACAGGCATCTTTTCTCTACATATCTTAATCTCTTTATCACAATCTTTATTTGTTTCTAAATTTGTTTCTTTTAATATATTATTTTCTAGTCTATTAACACTGCTAACTAATACTCTCTCTGTTACTAGCTCTTTTGTAATATTCTCTTTTGTAATATTCTCTGTTGACAAATAAGATTGATTTACATTTATGTTTGCCGGAACAGCTTCTGGTCGTAATCGTTTTCTGCTTCTCAATTCATCAGAATAATAAAACAATTTGTCATCAAAGTGATCGCTGCATATATATGTAGTTTTGAAGTTTGGAGACGTTGATAAATTTATAGCATCCATCCATTTTTTTCTTATTAATTCATTTTTCGGAAACCTGTTCGTATTAAGAATTATAAAACTTATAAAATATATATTTGAAATGACTTATGAAATATAATTTATTATTAAATATATACTTTATTACATTTTGAGGTTAGAAATATTAATATGTACTTACAAGTGAAAACTACGATTGGAAATAGGAGATGCTTCTATTTTGCAT